TCTGTTTATTCTTAAATAGGATAGTAGCTATGGATATAAGGACAATATTAACCATTTATGATGATGATGATGAGGAGGAAATTCTTGTATTGATCGCAGCCGTATATGAGTACTATTATAAACATTTTGATAAACAACGTTGTAGGGATTCCATGTTACAAGGGGAAGATTACATATTCGAGGTCTTAAATGGACATGAAGATAGGTGTTATGAAAATTTTCGGATGTACCCCAACACCTTTAGGGCATTGTGTCGTGAGTTGAAATTGTTAGGATTGAAAGATTCAACATTTCTAACGGTGGAAGAACAAGTTGCAATTTTCCTACTTACCGTGTCTCACAATGAAAGGAATCGTGTCGTTGCTGAAAGATTCCAACACTCTACATCCACAATTTCATATCACTTTCATACTGTATTAAAGTTAATTTGTGAGTTAGGGACTAAGATTATTGTTCCCCCGGATTTGAATGAAATTCCTAAAGAGATAAAGAACAATCCAAAGTTTTACCCATACTTTAAGAATTGTGTAGGAGCCATAGATGGTACTCATATCCATGCTGTAGTGCCAGTTGACCAACAAATACCCTTTCGTGGTCGAAAGGGTGATACGACTCAAAATGTCATGGCCGTGTGTTCATTTGATATGAAATTCACATACATTCTAGCAGGGTGGGAAGGGTCTGCTAATGATTCGAAGATTTTAAATGAGTGCATTCAGAATGAGGATTTCAATTTTCCATCACCACCCGAAGGTAAAAATATTAAGTTTTCATATTTGTGCATTTTACATTACAAATACGTTAACTTTAATACTTAACATACTTAATATGACAGGTAAGTTTTATTTAGTCGACTCTGGGTACGCCAATCAACCGGGGTTTTTGGCCCCTTACCGAGGTCAACGTTACCATATGCAGGAATATCGTAGACATACTAGAGGACCACATGGTAGAGAAGAGGTGTACAATTTTAGGCACTCGTCATTGAGGAATATCATAGAGCGATGTTTTGGGTTGGTAAAGATGAGATTCGCTATATTGAAGCAAATGCCCCCTTATCACTTTGACACTCAAGTTCTTATTGTCATTGCCTGTTGTACATTGCATAATTTCGTAAGATCCCAAGGTGAATCTGATGAAATTTTTGATTCTGAAACCCCTCAATCTTCACAAAATGAACTTGATGTGGATGACGATGTTCAGGTGGTCAGTGCTACTAATACACAGATACGACAGATGGATATTTATCGTGATGGTATTGCCAACCTAATTTGGGAGCACTGTAATCACTAATTATAAAACTGTCTAATAGTGTGTAGAATTAAAATATGGATGCCTGTAATAACTAATTATATTACGTAAATTAAACTCAGATGCTCCTTATTTATGGATAACTGTAATAACTAATTATATTAGGATATCAAATATTAAATGCTTTAGTACTTGTAGGCGCACTTATGTATAGGCTTGAAGGTGAGCGACCACAATGTGCATGTGGTAGAGGTCCTATGCATCTGTATAGGGCTCGAACTCCAAAAAATGATGGTCGACAATTCTATAGGTGTCCGGCTCGGGAGGTATGGTCAATTACTTTTAGGTGCTATTTCTGTTACTGTTTCCTAATTGTATAATTTATATTTCTTGTAGTCACATATGAATGCATTTATGTGGGTGGATGAGTTGCACCAAGGTGCACAAGTTGAAGAACAGGTTCAATCTGACTTGGACAGAGTCATTGCAATGATTCAAAATGAACAATGTAGACAGAAGTACATGCTCTTCCTAGGTTGTGGATGTCTTGCTATCACAATCATATTTATTGTGATTGTCCTCTTGTTGCTCATTATCGTTGTTATTGAAAGATGAAGTTAGATAAACTTCCATCTTTTGTAATATATGACATGTAATATGTATTTAGTTAATTTCCTGTGTTTCATTTGGTATGTAATATATACTTAAATGGTATATTTTGAACTACGTATTAGTTGTTGTTGTGTTATCTTCTCTGTCATTTTGGGAGTGAGCTTTAGGGTATTTGTAAAATTTGCTACTGAGGTTATTTACACTCTATTTGCGACATTAGAGAAAAAAAAAGGTTAGATATATCTTGATTACTACTTCTAATTATTTCATTCCTACCGTGTGTTATTTTGTTTTTCTCTAATGTTGTTCATGTCTTTTGTTTTGCATGAGGTCATTTACACTTTAAATTTACAACTAAGCTTGAAAAAAGGTTAGATATATCTTATTTATTACTTCTAATTATTTCATTCCTACCGGGTGTTATTTTGTTTTTCTCTAATGTTGTTCATGTCTTTTGTTTTGCATGAGGTCATTTACACTTTAAATTTACAACTAAGCCTGAAAAAAGGTTAGATATATCTTATTTACTACTTCTAATTATTTCATTCCTACCGGGTGTTATTTTGTTTTTCTCTAATGTTGTTCATGTCTTTTGTTTTGCATGAGGTCATTTACACTTTAAATTTACAACTAAGCCTGAAAAAAGGTTAGATATATCTTATTTACTACTTCTAATTATTTCATTCCTACCGGGTGTTATTTTGTTTTTCTCTAATGTTGTTCATGTCTTTTGTTTTGCATGAGGTCATTTACACTTTAAATTTACAACTAAGCCTGAAAAAAGGTTAGATATATCTTATTTACTACTTCTAATTATTTCATTCCTACCGTGTGTTATTTTGTTTTTCTCTAATGTTATTCATGTGTTTGGTTTTGCATGATGTCATTTACACTTTAAATTTACAACTAAGCCTGAAAAAAGGTTAGATATATTTGTTTACTACTTCTGATTATTTCATTCCTACCGTGTGTTATTTTGTTTTTATCTAATGTTGTTCATGTGGTTTGTTTTGCATGAGGTCATTTACACTCCAAATTTGCAGTTTAGCCTGAAAAAAGGTTAGATATATCTTATTTACTACTTCTAATTATTTCATTCCTACCGTGTGTTATTTTGTTTTTCTCTAATGTTCTTCATGTGTTTTGTTTTGCATGAGGTCATTTACACTCCAAATTTGCAACTTAGCCTGAAAGAAGGTTAGATATATCTTGCTTGAATTAAATTTGTGGACGGTGTCCCTTGTTAGTTGAATTTTGTGGGCGGTGTCCCTTATTGAAATAAATTTGTGGGCGGTGTCCCTTATTAAATGAATTTTGTGGGCGGTGTCCCTTATTGAAATAATTTTGTGGGCGGTGTCCCTTGTTAAATGAATTTTGTGGGCGGTGTCCCTTATTGAATTAATTTTGTGGGCGGTGTCCCTTGGGTTTATTGTGTTTTGAAATTTTGGAAATGTCCATTTTTAAGGGGAAGTCATGCCGGATTTTTTTTAAAAAAAATAATAAAAATTTAATTTAACTCTGCTTTATATTTTGCTACTATAGGTAATGTCTTGTTTTACATTCAAATTCATTTTTTGCTACTACATTGAAGGACATGGCAGTAAGTTGTAGGCAGTGGCACCAGCGGGATTGATAGGAAGCATTCTCTAGTTGCTGCAACTCCAGAAAGCTAGTGATCTCTAAGTTAATCAAATGGAGGCCTATGCAAGTATAAAAAAGTGGGTGTACATTTTATGGAATGAATATTAGTGATCTCCAATTATGTGTATATTTTTTGTAAGTGTAATGAAGTGTGTGTGTACTTTCAAATATTTTAAAGGAATGTCTAGCTTCTTATATGTGGAAGTATATATGTGAATGATGCAACACTCAAGTTCTTAAGATTGTGATGTATAAAGCAAAACTATACGTGGAAGTATATATGTGAATGTCGTTCAGTCTTGTAAGAGGGATCTTCCTTGATTGCTTACTTTTAATCTTTATTCATATTTATCAATTCTGCTTATGGTTGGATATTGTATGAAATATTCACAAGTCCGTTATCAAAATAAATACTCAACAAAAGGGGAAATGGTCTTATGACTAAACAAAAAAAAATATTACCAATTTGAAGGACCTCCACTGCAAAATTTCAAACTAATCTAAGTGAAGTAAAACTATTTACAAGCTTCAATGTTCACCAAATTTCAACTCTGACCAATTCAAGACGATTAACGTTTTGGCTTTGTTTCTTGTTAGTTTTAACTACAAGGATCTCTCTCTCTCTCACATTCTTCATGAATATATATATATATATATATATATATATGAAACAAAACAAAGTTAAATGGAATGCAAGCGAAAAGAAAAAGATAAATGGAGTGCAAAGATCTACTCTCATTAAAAGATTATTACAAAGTTAGATTTGTAATTTGGTTGCCATTAATCATGTTTATGCAGATTTATTCATTATTACAAAGTAGTTTGGTTGCCATTATACTTGTAAATTTAACAAAAAAAAAATTTCCCAACTCTAATGCAGATTTTTTTTTTTTTTTTTTTTCCATAAATTATTTCAAATCATAAAGAAAAATGGACTATTTTACATATAAACTTATAATTGTATTCATATATATAATTTTTCAAAACAAAACAAAACAGTCTTTACCAAACAGGTATTCTGTTATTGATTCAGAATTTTTAATAACAAAACACTATTCTCAAACGTGTTTTGTTTTTGAATTTCTTAAAACGCATGACAATACCAAACGCGTTATCATGTTTCTGATATACAATTATTAAAAACAAAACAATCGTTACCAAACATGGATCCGATTTCTACTAAAAACATACCAATACCAAAACAGTTGTTTTCATATCGTACCAAACCATAACATATAACGTTATCGCCATCCAAACGGACCCTAAGTACCACAATTGTGTTTTTCAAGTGATTATTTTCTTCAGCTTTTTTCCAATAACAATCTAACCATGGTTATGAAATTCAAGAACAACAAACAAATGCAACTTTATTAAAATTCCACATTAAAAAAAAAAAAAAAAAAAAGAATCTTGAATATTGAAAACAGAAAATAGAATAAGGATTGGCAAATACAAGAATATTATTTCAATAGGTCGAGCAGAGAATATCCAAATACCTGGCGATTAACAGTGGTGGGATCGTGGCGGCCCCAGAAAACAGAGAGGAGGTTGGTGTATGGGCACACAGACGGGTCGAACTGGACCCGGACAACCTCGGCGTGATTGGTGGTTCCGGTGCAGACCCGTCTGTAATTCGGATCGGGCACTCGACCCTGAGAGTAACCCACCTCAGTCTTGGTCACCCCTTGCACCCTCTGGAACGCCAGTTCCACTCCCCAGAAGCACCCGGCTCCGAACTGAGCGAACTCGAGTCCAGGTTGGTCGGGGCAATCCAGATCGGGATCCAAAGCCGGATTCTTGGTGTCTGCACCTGCTTGCTTAGAAGCCATTTTTCTCCTTCGCTCCAGTCTCCACCTTTGAGAAGCGATTAGATACTTCTATAATGCGTGTGGCGTAACTGTGTGTGTATCCTATTATCTTTAAAGACACCGGTGACCCGTTCAAGCGATTAGATATTTCTTTAACGACACCTCTCAGGTTTAAGGTTTGACCAAATATCAATCGTTTCGAAAATAACTTAACTTTTTGCTTTTCCACGGCCTCCGTTAAAAAAATAAAGAAAAAATAATAATTTATATTTCTAATTTTTTAATCACATTTATTCTAAAATATCATATAACCTAAATAACTATTATACCACTAATTAAATTCCTACCTACTGCCAATACACACGCTACTTCTCTCTCCTCTGTTTCTCTCTTCTCTATAATTATTACGTCTCTCTTTTCTCTATAGATAGGAGCCGCAGATTAACAAAATCGTGAAACCCTAGTTCTTGTAGTTCTAGAGTCTAAACTTCGTACCATCAAGCCATATACCTTCCATCCAACTGCATACGGCCGATCAAGTCCATTTCAGGCCCTTTTCATATACTATTGACCCATTTCAGAGTCGTGCAAACGCTAATGTTAGCGTTCCGATATTTGATTTTTATTATTGTTTTATATCAATATTTGATTTTTATTATTGTTCGTTTCACCGCACAAAGCTCTTCAATTGTGATCAATTCACCGGAGACAGAAGAATTCACAATCTCCGACACGTCCTTAATTCCTGTAAAATCCAACTGCTGAAGAAGGGCCATCGCGACGGTGGTTTGGTCCAGAAGCTTCCGGCTCTCCTCCAGGCTTCAGCCTAGCCGAAGCCGACCACCTTGAGAGGCAGCGAAGCCCATAGTGGTGGAAGTGAAGGCGGATACTTGTTTGCAAACGGAGGGCCATTCTAGGGTTTTCAAGGTCTCGTTATGGAGAGTCTCTAAGAGACTGACTCGATGCGTCGACTCGGGAGTGGCAAACAAAGATATGGGTATTTTGATGGATCGGTGATTGAGCACAAGATGGTGATTTGGAGGTGTTATTATGATTGTGAAGCTCTTCCAGAGCTCCATTGAAGTCGATGAAATTTTAATTTACAAAATTTTTGGCTTTTATAGACAGTATATTGTTGTGCGGAAAAATATATATATATATATATATATATATATATATATATAAATTATTATATTGTTATCTTTTCCAATTCGCTCCGTTTGAAACCAAATTCTTTGGAATTTGGATTTAGAATTAGAAAAGAAATTGGATTGGAGTCAAGGATTTTATATTTGTGTTTGGAATAAACTAGAATTTTAAAAAGTAATTGAAAATAAAATATAATTTTGGATCATTTTACCCTATATATATATATATATATATATATATATATATATAACGACGAATATTTATCAATTTAGATCAAACATATTAATTATACCGTAGTTGATGAGTGAGTTCTATTAAAATGGAAACAAGAGAGTTTCAACAATAATAATAAGAATAGTGCAGTTGCTAAGGAACGAGTAGTGCATTATTAGAACTAGTGAAAGACAATTTTACCCCCTATATAAAACTATGTCGTTTGGGCAAATATCCACTTAAATTGATGATATGGAAGGAAGACATCTTAGCAACCAATTAGAATGCAACAAGTCATCCAACCTTTTTGCCCTTTTTTTTATTTATTTTTCCCCTTTGAGTACCCAACCACACACTGACACACGCAACAGTAAATATTCTTCCTCTTCTTTCCTCACACGCATCTAAAACTACGTCGTTTGGTTACTCCCCCAGGCCATTCTGTATACACACACACATATATATTTACATATATACATCTTAACTGTTCATCTTCTTCACAACACATCTTCAGTTTTAGTATCTTTTTTAATTGCAGAAGCGAATTTTCTATTTGTGGAATCTCATGTTGGAGTTGGGTTCCCCTACACTAACACACCCTCTGATTTCACCAAATTGGATGATGGGTTTGTGGGTAATTCAATAATTAATCATATTTAAATCACAAATTGCAATCATTTTATTTTTCTTATTTCTTATTTCTTATTTATATATTCAACTTTTATATATATATATATATATATATATAGGCTGAGGATGCCTACAATTTTATGGTGAATTGGTTGAAAACATTTTGACAGTTCAAAACCCATGATCTCTTCATATCAGGAGAGAGTTATGAGGTAATTGATTAATATAGCCTAACCTCAAGACTCCATTGACCAAACAAATTTTCGATAAAAAAATTTGGGTGCCTTTTTTATAATGCCAGTGAGGACCGAGAGACCAAAGTGGCGAGGGAAAAAGTAGGCCGGAAGTTTCGACGAGCGCGATGACCAGCAGATGTTACGGTGACGGCGAGAGAAGGCTCCAACGATGAAGATCCGACGGCTTAGTGATTTATCAATCGATTTCATCATCACTAATTTGAGAAATTCGAATCGTCAGAGCCAAAGTAGTGTTATAGTATAGAACAGGGGCATTCACTTCTTCTCAACTGGGTGTGACATGGTGCCTGTGTTGACTTGAGGCGAGCCGAAGTCCCTCGCAGACAGTGAATCCCATAGCCGACGGTTCCTTGTTGCCGGCCGATCCTCATCGCCATCCCCATGGCTGCAGTACTTTTCCCTTCTGGTTTGCAGAGACATATATGATATATGTGTATAATAAATAGGGCAATGTTTGGTTAGGATTTAATGGTAATAAAAGGGGCATTGTGGTCTTTTAGCTTCATAAAGGGTTGTTTTGGGTTGTCACGTGACCCATTATGTGATTCTTCACGGTCAATTTCAACCGGCTTCTCATCGGACGGGGTTAATTACAACAAATTGGTTAATTCAAAGAGGTTATATGCCAAATTTAAGGATGGCAATGGGGCGGGGTGGGGCGGGGATTCCATTCCCCATCCCCATCCCCGATGCATTTTTCATTCTCTATCCCAGTCCCCATTCCCGCTTAAAATTTTGCCAGAATCGTCATACCCGCCCTTGCCCCCGACACCTTATCCTCGTCCCTGCCCCACCCCTCCCCTGGCCCCGGCCTCATAATTTTTTTTATTAAAAAAAAACACATTTTTTCTTATATATATATATATATATATAATAAATCTAATTTAGTAATAAATTATTATATGTAAGGGTATATTAGTAATTTCATATTTAATCGGAGCGAGGTGGGGCAGGTTTATCCTGTCCTAGCCCCGGCAGAAATTTATAATTTGCCCCCATCCCCATCTCTGTTTAGCTAAAAAGATCCCCATCCCCGCTATAAACGGGACGGAGAGAGGCGGGCCCAGACGGGGATGGGGAATTTGCCATCCCTAGCCAAATTATTATATTAGGGGGGTTTTCTATTATATGGCCAATACTTCAAGGGATTTTTTTTTGCACTTTACCATATATATATTTGTTTTCAGTAAATATGATGATAGAATAGTATTTTATAAAGTGATGACAACTTTAAACTAGAGATGTGAGAAGTGAAAAGAGGTTTGATAAGTTCAAAATTTTAATATGTTTACACTCCAAATCCCCTCAAATTCTATCAATTTTTCTTGGATTTCTCAACATTATGAAATTTCCTTTGATATCTGCAATCCTATTTCGTTTAAAATTCCATCTATTCCAAACCACCGAAATCCTTTTTGAAATCCAATTCCCATGAAATCCTATTGTTACAAAAACAGTGTATTTCCTTGTTTTATATTGCCCTTGAAAACATACATGTTATGGATTAAAAATATTTGGCAATTACATATTCAAAAATAAAATTTGTAATTACATATTAAAAATAATTTTCAAAATATTATCCTCAAATTTACCTAAATTTTTTCACATTTATAAGGTTCAAATTAGCAAATAATTATAAAGGAATTACTCCTAAAAAAATTATAATTAAAATGATTTCAATAGAAAAGTATGGGTAAACATGTCATTTGAATACTTAAAGAAATAATTTAGTTAGTCAAACTAAAGTCATATGAGGGTAAATATGTCATTTGAATCATTAAAGAAACAATTTAGTGGGTCAAACCAAAGTCAAATGGTAAGAATAACTTTTTACCTGTAAAAAGTGGTCTGACACCCTGTCAACTAACTTTTGGGATGTGAGTGAGAAACGGAGTAAACGTTTATACCGTAAGTGATAGTTATTTTCGAAAGATGGTTGAGGGTGATATTTGGCCAAACCTGAGGTGTCAACTAACTTTTGGGGTGTGGGTGAGAAACGAAGCAAATGTTTATAATGTGAGTGATAATTATTTTCGAAATATATTTGAAGGTGAGATTTGGCCAAACCTAAGAGGTATCAGTGAAATTATTCTAAAAATAAAATATAAAGTAGTTTGGAAAAAAAAAAAAAAAAAAATGAAAATTGTCATCTTCATTTTATTTATGAGTAATTAAGAATTTTTTTTATTTATTATAAAAAATAAGGAATTATCTTTCTCACTTCACTCATTTATAAAATAAACAAGCTTCAACTCCAATCATGCTTTCAAAGTTCAAACTCTCTGCCTCTGTTATGGAAGAACACACGGAGTATTATTTTAATCAGGTTTGTTAATCAATGGTAATATATTACTACTATGTATAATATTAAGAATAAAAAATTAGATAAGAGTATACGATATAATAGTGATTACTTTTCAAATTAAATTTAAATTATTTAATTTTTTAATGAGATGAGTAAATAGTATTAAATTATAATACATTCTTGAATGATGACGGCTTTTAGACTCAAATTTATCGTCATTTGTACTCTATAAGTAAAGCAATTATTTCAAAAATCATATTCATGCTTTAGCATTTGCCAATCTAACATAAAACGCCACCAAAATAATAATAATGATAAGTTAATAACAACAACAACATTATGTTAACTTAAACAAATAATTCTTACAAGTTACAATTATAACATGAACCATCCCAAATGATGATAATAATAATTCTTACACCTAAAACATGCCACCAGACTTTAATTAACTGGACTCTTTGAAGAGACGTTCTTCGATCTGCTTTTTTCATGAGTAAAAATATCCGTCATATCCAGAGTTTTTGAGAGATGATAGAATAAGTTTATTTTCCGGTAAACCACCATCCATTAATTTTAGAAATTT